CCTCTCTGCAAATTGACTGATGATCCTGATGACCTATCTACATTGACTCCTGCACATTTTCTTGTTGGTTCATCACTATCTACAATACCAGAACCAGACCTCAAGGAAGTACCAACAAATAGACTTTCAAAATGGCAGTTGTTGCAGCAAATGTTACAAAGTTTCTGGAAAAGATGGTCAAGGGAATATCTTCAGCAACTGCAGACAATTTATAAATGGAGATTTCCAAACACACAACTTAAAGTAGGATCAGTAGTCCTTATTATTGACGAACAATATCCTCCATCAAAATGGCCTTTAGCAAAGGTCATAGAAGTTCATCCTGGGCTTGACAATCTCATTCACGTGGTAACACTGAAGACAGCTACTGGAATACTCAAAAGACCAATAGCAAAATTGTGCTCTCTTCCTGTCACAGAATAAAATTGCCCAGTTCCCTGTTGCAATTTGGGGGGGAGTATGTTAGAAGTACTATGTATACTATCAACTGCCTGCCATTTGAGGATGAAATCATATGTTATTAATTGTTATGATTTATTTACTTTTTTGTTTACTTTTTATCAGTTTTGTTCTCAACCATGTTAATAAACCATCAATTGTTTTTCATCTCTTTTATTTTGTAAAAACTAATCACTCATACTATCTATCATTAACACATGGGAACCCTGACAAACTTCGGGAAATGGTTTCCTGGATCAAAACTATAATAAAATGTCCTATAAGCATTTGTCCTAAACTCACTCGTTTTCTATTTATACGAAAAAATATGTTTTTTAGGTTTTCAGTGTATCTGTTGAACATTTTGACATCTAGATTGAAAAATTGAAGGTTGAAAAATTGACAAGATATTTTGATAAAACCTGCATTGGTAGATAGAATATTAAATTTCAAAGAGATTTCATCACTATTTTGGGTAAACATCTTGGTTATGACTGATAAAAATAAGTTAAAAAAATAATAAAAAAAAATCTAGATTAAAAAACGGCTCCTGGCATTGATAATATTCCTGCAGAAGCCTTGAAAGCTGATCCAGGCCTAACAGCTCGTATTCTACATCCTCTTTTAGTAACTATTTGGAAAACAGAAAGGATTCCAGAGGAGTGGAGTAAAGGAGTACTGGTAAAACGGGAGTGTTGCATGACGTCCAAGTGCCACGACGTCCAATAATATTTTTCCAGTGCCACGACGTCCAAAACATAATTTTCGAGTTGTTGCACGACGTCCAAGTGCCACGACGTCCAAAAGTACAGTAACTGCCAAAAATATAGTGTTTCTACAAGCTTTGGACGTCGTGGAACTTGGACGTCGTGAAACAGCACACTGTAGAATTGTAGAGACGTATCATTTGCACCACGTCCAAAGCCTCTGCCAGTTGCACGACGTCCAAGTGCCACGACGTCCAATCAATATTCGACTGTTGCACGACGTCCAATCAATATTCGACTGTTGCACGACGTCCAAGTGCCACGACGTCCAAGTGCCACGACGTCCAAAGTGCCTGCACACTGTGAACACTGTTTTCCGACCTCAATGCATACAGTTCGCATTGCAATTATTGAAGGCAACTAGGCCTAGTCAACTGTTTGAAAGTTGTCAACCGCTTCGTCTTCGATTAATGTTTAAATTATTCAATATTCAATGGTTCTAATTGAACTAATTATTGCATTAGCTTAAATTTTTTATATGTAAAATAAATACTACTAGGGGAAACCCGTCGAAATCGAAGGTTAGGTACTTTCAAGGCTTACGCTAAATTCATCTAACTGCTATAAATTGAGTGAAATTATACATATTTTGAGAATATTTAGGAACATATTTTGGAAGAACCTTTAAATAGTATTAAAATCGTTTTGGCAGATCTTTTGTAGTTAAACACTTCCACGATTTCATCAGTGTAATGCATATTAATCTATGATTTTATTTGAAGAAAAAAAAAATCTGTTTATTGGGAAGACACGTACTAACTTCAAAGGGAGGTATAACCGTAACAGTGTAAGTTTGATTTTTCCTTAGTTGTCTTAACCTTATCAATTACATAAAGTTGTAAAATAAAGTTATCTCATATAACACAAGTTCATAATAATATAATATAAGTCTCATATAAGTTATATCATAAAGATGTCTCTACGAAATGTTAGGTGTAGTGGAATATGCTCGAAGTGAAGTTGGCTTTTATTCTTGAACTGTTAGGGGCGTTAGGGGCCTCCTCATTTATATGGTCGTTAGGCAACAAAGAATGCAAATGACAAAGCAATGTGTCATTTCCAAAAAGAAAAAATAATTTTAATTGGCTGTTACGTAAATATTGACGTTTACATATATTGTTAATCAACGTCTCTTACAAAGGATGATGGGATCTAGTTTAAAAGGAATATAACCTTTCTGGCATGACAGTAACTGCTTAAATAGTATTTACTCATTGGGCCATTTTTTACATCCAAAATGTCGTGTTATTTTCAATAATATTACCAACCCAGTGGGCCACGGCGGGGCCACGGTCCGTAATATAGGTCACTGCAAATAATTTGTCAAGGTCAAGATAAACACCATTTTAGACAAGGTTTCTGTGTTTGGATGTTATTAGACACGCAAAGAGCACAATAAAATTCTTCTGCAGATGAATTATACATGTTGGAGAAATATAAGCCGAATTATAAATGTCACAATGCGAGTTTGAGCATTTTGTAACTATATGGGTAAAATAAACGGTATCAGCATTCTGACACATACTTTCTCCCATAAGTTTGTCAACAACCTTTATCATGTGTAAGCGGTGAGAGTAAATATACGGAAATGGGATTTGTAAGATTTTCTTCAGAATTTAAAGGACTATAACATGCTAAATTTTTATCAAAATCGTTCGAGCCAATATTGGGAAAATATGATTTTCCGTTATTTTATGGGGTTTTTATGGGGAAATAACATAATTTACAATAACTTTTGAACCGTAATTTTTACAGAGATGGGATTTGTACCATTTTGTTCAGAATATAAAGGACTATAACATACTAAATTTTTATCGAAATCGTTCAGGCTATTTTTGGGAAAATCTTTTTTTTCCGTCATTTTATGGGGTTTTATGGGAAAATACCCATTAAAAATAAAAATTTCTAAGAAATGAGAAAAACTATCAAAATTGTAAGGATCATAACATACTATGTTAATAAAAAACGGATTTTTTTGTCTAAAATCCTATTTTTCGTTATTTTATGGGATTTTTATGGGAAAATAACATAATTTACCATAACTTTTGATCCGTAATTTTTACAGAAATGGGATTTGTACCATTTTGTTCAGAATTTAAAGGGCTACAACATACTAAATTTTTATCAAAATCGTTCGGGCCATTTTTGAGAATATCCGATTTTTCCGGTTTTTTATGGGTTTTTATGGGAAAATCCCCATTAAAAATCAAAATTTCAAAAAAATGAAAAAAACGCCTGGAGATACCATGGATTAGAACCTACATACCAAATTTCATCGAAATCGGACCGCAGGTGTAGTCTCTAGCTCTGTACACATCCAGACACACAGACACACAGACACACAGACACACAGACACACACACACACACACACACACAGACATCACTTCGAAAACCACTTTTTTGGGTCCAGGGGGACCCAAAACGAATATATCCACTCAAAACTCAAACTCGAAAATTTTGACGAAAACAATACTTTCTCCATATACTATGGTATAGGGGGAGAAAGTAAAAATAGATTTCTTTAGGCTGCTGGTCAGTGCATTTTAAGAATATATATTTTAGAGATAAATTAAATGGTTTTTGTTGCTGAGTAGCGCTAGTAAACATGCACAATCCTTTTCGTTCGTCTAATAACATTCAAAGGCTCTCTAAGAGTTCAAGTTCTTATTTTTATACATACCTATCTATAAATTACGTTTTCACTAAGCTGAATGAATACATCGAAGTAACCTCTCTGAAGTCTGCAGTACATTGCAATTTTCCAGCTTAATGACTTTCTAAATCATAAACATATTTCTACATTGTTGGTAAAATGAATTTATTTCAAATAGTCTTTACTTGCTTTTGTCAGCTGATTATTTAAATGATTTAAATTAGTCATCTGCCAATGTTTTGTTTTTTAGTTTTTTATATACACAATTCTTGTTCAGTTCATGAAAATAAAATAATGTTAGAAGTGTTTGTTAATCTGTGAGTTTATCTTAAATTAAGCTTTCCAACATGGTGTCAGGTTATTAGAAGAATTACAATAATGAATGGAATACCTCTACCAGATCCACTTGACATTTCGGACAAAACAAATGCAGCAGAGAAATGGATGTTATTCAAGGTCCAATGGAACAACTATCTAACTTTGGCTGAAGCCTGTGGTGGCTCAAAATGCAGCAAGATAACAAGCAAAAAAGTTCAGGTAGCTTTATTCCAGTCTCTCATTGGAGGTAAAACATTACAGCTAATAAATAAAATATGCAATGACAAGGCCAGTGTTGATGAGATTATTGATAGACTAGATGATTATTTTAATAATGCTAAGAATGTTACTTTTGAGCGCTTTATGTTTAATAGTGCTACACAATCACCAAATGAGTCTTGTAAAGAGTATATTAACAGGTTACATGAAATGATAGGAAAATGTGAATTTGAGTCACTGTCAAATTTATCTAGGCTTGAAATTGAAGAGCAGCTCTTATGTGATAGGTTAGTAGTAGGTTTATCAAATAATGACTTAAGAAAACGGCTCTTATCAAAAAAAGATCTGACTCTTGATAATGCGACAAGCATATGTCTTTCTGATGAGCAGGCTAGTAATCTTGCTAAAAAAATCAATGAACGTAGAACTAACGAGACTGAACCTTCTACGGAAAATATAGTTAATGAGTCGTTTAGAATAAACAGTGATCAAAAACTTCTTTCGTGTAAATTCTGTGGGGGGAAACACCAAAGAGGAGCAAGTTACTGTCCTGCGTTTGGAAAAGCGTGTAGTTTATGTCGAAAAAACAATCATTTTGCTAAAATGTGCCTTAAAGCAAAAGAAAAGATTAAAGTAGTAAGCTCTGCTTGTGAAGATACCATTCCTGGAGATTATGTAGACAAAAATGACATATATGAAATGGAAGATGACATTCCAAAAAAACGTCTATTCGTCCATTTGAAAGTCCCATTTAGGAAAGGTAATCGAATGCTAAAATGTCAACTTGATAGCGGGGCGACATGCAATGTAATGAGTTACGATATTTTGAAGGAGCTGGTTGGAGTTGATCGTCCAGTCCTCCAAAAAAGTAATACAACGCTTACTTTCTATGGTGGTGCTTCAAAGGCTTCTCTTGGGAAAATAACATTGCATGTTATATGGAAGAATATTAAGCAAAGAATGTCGTTTGAAGTTATCAATACGAAGCATATTCCATTGATTGGAGCTCAAGACTGTTTACGGTTAGGGCTTATTGCAGTAGATGAGGATGTTTTTGAGTTAAAGAATTCTCCAAATCCAAGCTCCATTCTATCTTCTTTTCAAGACATTGGTCAAGGTCTAGGATGCTTTGAGGGTAAACATAAATTTAGACTTGACGAATCTGTTGTTCCTGTAGTGGTTCCACCTCGAAGATATCCTCTGGTTTTACAAGATGAGATAAAAAGTGAAATACAACGTCTTCAAGAATTAGGTGTAATACGTAAGGTAACGGAACCTTCCTCATGGGTCAGTGCTATGGTTGTCGTTAAGAAACCGAACAAGTTACGCATTTGTATTGACCCACATCAACTAAACAAAGCTATCCAGCGATCACATTATCAGGTCCCCACTATAGAAGAAGTTGCTCCAAAACTTATAAAAGCCAGGATATTTAGTACTCTAGACCTAAAAGATGGGTTCTGGCATATAAAGTTAACCGAAGAGGCAAGCAAATTAACGACATTTTGGACTCCATTTGGGAGGTACCGCTGGCTAAGGATGCCTTTCGGAGTAAAGTCAGCTCCAGAAGAATTTCAACGGCGAGTACACGAAGAGCTGGAAGGACTAAAAGGAATTTTTACGATTGCAGATGATGTCGTAGTTTACGGCAGTGGAGACACAGATGAACAAGCTTTAGAGGACCATAACAAGAATCTGCATGCATTGCTTGAGCGAGCTAGACAAAGAAATATAAAGTTCAACATGAATAAATGTAAAATCGGACTGAAGGAAGTTAAGTACATGGGACATGTTTTGAGCAGTGATGGCTTGAAAGCAGATCCTGACAAGATATCAGCAGTCTCAAATATGAAAGAGCCTCAGAACAAGGAGGAAGCTCAAAGGTTCTTGGGATTTATCAATTATTTAAGTAAATTTCTGCCAGGACTGTCAGAAGTAGCAGTTCCAATAAGAACTCTAATTAAAGAAGATGTTAAGTGGACGTGGCAGGAATTACATTCATTGGCTTTCAAGAAATTAGTTAACATGGTGACCAACTCTCCAACCCTACAGTATTACAATAAGGACTCTCCTGTGACGTTGCAATGTGATGCAAGTCAGTTTGGTTTGGGTGCTTCGCTATTGCAAAATGGTAAGCCAGTTTCATATATATCAAGGACTTTAAATCCAACAGAATGCCACTATGCTCAGATCGAGAAAGAATGCCTGGCAGTTCTATTTGCCTTTGAAAGGTTTGAACAGTATTTGTTCGGTAAGTGTGATATTACGGTAGAAACCGATCACAAACCTCTTGAGACTATTTTCAAAAAACCTTTGGTCAACGCACCTAAGCGGTTGCAAAGAATGTTGCTGCGATTGCAGAAGTTTACATTTACTGTTGTTTATCGACCAGGTAAAACAATGCTTTTAGCAGATTTTTTGTCACGCGCCCCAGAAACTAAGTATGAATGCAGTATGCAGGACAATTCAGTAATGATTTTTGAAACCTCAATGAACAGCTCGACAAAGGAGTTTGAACAGTGTAAGTCCTTAGAGTACATAAATGTTACGGATGAGCGTTTAAACCAACTGAAAGAACACACATACAAAGACCCCGTGCTTCAGAAGCTTATACCGGTGATTATAAATGGTTGGCCTAATAGAAAGACTCAAGTTCCCAATGAGCTATGGAATTACTGGCCTTTTAAGGAAGAGCTTGGAGTTGAAGACGGACTTGTCCTCAAAGGAGAGCGGATTGTTATCCCAAGTAGCATGACAATTGAACTAGTCCATAGAATTCATTTTTCACATCAAGGGGTTGAATCATGTATAAGGAGAGCAAAAGATGTATTTTTTTGGCCGGGAATGGCAGGAGATATAAGAAAAGAAGTTGAAAAATGTTTAGTATGCAAGAAATATGCACCGACTCAACGGAAAGAACCCCTCTTACTTCAAGAAACACCATCACGACCATGGCAGCGAATCGGGGTTGATTTTGCTCAAGAAGGCTCAACTCACTTCATTATTGTGACTGATTACTATTCGTCATTTTTTGAGATTAGGAAAACACAAAAATGTACCTCTGAATCATTGATTGTTTTCTGTAAAGAGTTATTTGCAAGATACGGCATTCCAGACATTGTAGTTGGTGATAGTGGCACCCCTATATTAAGTCAAGCATTTAAAGATTTTTCAGAAGAGTGGAAATTTAAGATAATTACTTCCTCTCCATATCACCACCAGGCAAATGGAAAAGTTGAATCTGCTGTAAAGATATTTAAGAGTATTTTAAAAAAAGTGAGAGAAGACAAAGGCGACTTTCAGCAGGCTCTTCTTGAGTTGAGAAATACACCACTCAAAGAAATTGGTAAGAGTCCAGCTCAGTTGTTAATGTCTAGAAGAACTAAAAGCTTTGTACCCACTTGTGAAGATCTGCTGCGTCCTAATGTTCCTGTGAAAGTAATTGAAAAGTGGGATAAAAAGAAAGATGCATACAAAACATATTTTGACAAAGGAGCTAAAGACCTCGCCCCACTGATACCAGGACAAGTTGTTTGGGTTCAAAGGAAACCTCAAGAGAGAAGGGATCCCTGGGTAGAAGGTAAAGTTATAAAAAAAGAAAGAGATCGAAGATATGTGGTACAAGTTGGTGGAAACTTATATGTTCGCAACAGACGCTTTTTAAAGACATAAAAAAAAGTTAAGAAAGGGAGGATGTTGGTAAAATGAATTTATTTCAAATAGTCTTTACTTGCTTTTGTCAGCTGATTATTTAAATGATTTAAATTAGTCATCTGCCAATGTTTTGTTTTTTAGTTTTTTATATACACAATTCTTGTTCAGTTCATGAAAATAAAATAATGTTAGAAGTGTTTGTTAATCTGTGAGTTTATCTTAAATTAAGCTTTCCAACATACATAAATATTGTAAAATGTTTTATCCAGTTGCTGTAAATACTATTATTTTAACAAAATATGGACACCGCTCAAATGGGCACCGTGCCCTTCTGCACTTGTATTATTTTGTATTGTATTACCCAATCGAAGGTTTTTCCAATGATTGGAGATTTCGTAATGGAACGTTATATTGCAAAACATGACATGATACAGAATAAAATCAATTTTAAAATCAGAAAATAACATTGCAAATACTTCTTTTGCACAATTCAGTAACTGTGTGTTTAAAATACAATTTAAAAAAATTAACAGCTGTTTCATTAAAAAATATTATCATTGACTATATAAGGTATATATAGTCAATGCTATTATCCACATGGCCAAAATGTAAACAAATCTGTGGAGGGATCTTTAAAGGCTACTCGGGCAGAGCCCTGAGCAAATTCACTTCGTTTTTCTTGTGATAACTCATCTACAGACAAATACCTTTCTTTGGACACCTCTACCAAGTTTCTACGCCTTGCAGTTCTCTCAAATTAGTGGGGACAAAGTTTCCAATTAAATATTTAGATTTCCCCATGTTAATCTTATGGGAGAAAACCCAACTTTGATGGAAGATCCCGCCCGAACTAATAAAGATTTCAAAAAAATAAAAACACTTTGCTAAACTACAGATCAGGGCCATTCTTTTGACGATTTAATCATCAAAATCGGTCCAAATATAAGGGAGGATTTCTGTTTCCAAAAATCGGCTTAGCGTATTATGTATATAGAAGATGTCACCGGAAAATGTAATGGTGCAGTATTTCTGTTGTTAACGATTGCATAATCGATTTCTACAAAATAGAGCTATGTCATAGAAACGAAATAAATAAATGACTACCTACACTATTCACTATATTGTATGATTATTACAATAAATTAATCACTAGCCCAAAAGCAAATATGGTAGCTTTAATGTGAGTAGTGGTAGAATTCTAAGTACTGCAGTAGAATAGAATTGTCATACTATATCGATTGGTAGCAAATTTACTCGTAAGGTAAAATGTATGCCCAGTTTTATAACAGCTGTAAGCCTTCCCATTTAAATACCGGTATCATTGAAATTGTATAACTTCCATTGAACAGAAATGAGATAAGTAGATATCGATACACAGATATATGAATTTTCGTACACTTATAATATGACGAAATCAAAAAAGGTTTATCCGTCAAATGTGCTAAATATTATGTAAACTATCACTTATCAACTTTTTAAGCTATAATGGTGTTACTACAATGGTTAAAAATGTTTCCTGTGAAACATGTATTTTTTTAAACTAAAAGAAGGTTTTCTTTCAGTACAAATCTTGCTCTATTAGTGCATACGATGATTTTACTGGGAATAATTCGTTTTAAAAGAAATCATTCATCATGGATATATGAAATAATTAAGATTCTATAATCATTGCCCTATCAACCTAGGCCCTTTTCCTGAGTGTTATGAGGTATATGTTTTGATTTATTTTTGTGTAAACCGTAATATAATCCCCCTGCCACAGCAAATCTGTAGACTGAATTTCCATTTGCCTGATTATATAATTTCACTAAAATATGTTAGAAAATTACCCTTTTTCCATATTTATTTATATTTTCCTATTTGTCGGTATGGAACTATTGTGATAGCTTTTTGTTTACAGTGCAAACCATGGATGTATGGATGGATGGATGGATGGATGGATGTTTGTGACAAGCAAACGCGAAAAATACTAAACCGACAAGGTTGAAATTATGACCGACAAGGTATGATGATAGATGACATCCCCGATTAACATATTCTTACCTTAAAAATTATTTCAGTCTCCGCCCCGGTGGCTCTGGCTCTGGACTTTCTCATGTTAACCTTATGAGTATTCATATTTGAAGAAATTAACGAATTTTGTCAGCCGTTTCAACTGTACAAGTTGGTTCTATGATATTAAACAGCATTAAAAAGTTATAAGGCTTGCCAATAGGGTGCAGCACTATTATATTGTTTGTTTGCTTTAATGACCACAGCTAATTTGAACCAACTAGCAAAAAAAGTTGTGGTACACAATGAGAACTTTACTTTTTTCCATGGTTTAGGTGCAGTGTAGAACATCAGGACTAAGGTAGATGTGTGCTACACAATAGGATAGGCCTACCGTATAAATTAAAAGACAATTTTTTTTTAATTTTTCAACACGTGTCCTCTCCCATAACTGCAATAAGCATTTATACTTATATGCCAACCCCGTACGAAGAACGGCTACTCTGCTAGTAACACAATAATACAAATACAGTAAACTAATACAATAATACTGTAGGTTTCCGTAGTCTGTGGCCAGGTCTGAACTGTCAATCAATTCTGAGAAATTCACAGTTGTAAATTCTTACTAGTCTTTTTCTAAGTTCACGTTGCACTCGCAATTAGTTTGCATGTTTTATCTAGGAAAGCAGGTATGCCCTAAGTCATAGCATTTGTAGGTTAAGCATAATAATAACAAACATGCTTATCGTAGATTTGTAGGCATACTTGTTCAAGAATATAACGTGGTAGGTTTTGTTTATAAATTTTATTTTTTAATTCTTGTCTAATGACGGTATTGATTTGTATTTGTGCGAAAATGTTAATTTATTTGTCAAGAGCATGAGCGGCCCTCTAGTCTATGTATGTTACATGAAGCACAACATGAAAAGGAATAAATTAAAGGAAGGTAAAAAAAACGGATCAGTTGCTGAAGGTCTAAATCTCGGAAGGTCTAATCAGACCTTCGACACACATTTTGCAGTTTGTACTTGATGCTGAGGATCCCATGAATCCTATACAAAATTAAAAAAATGTTTCATTTAAACTACAAGTTTATTACTTTTCCGAGAACCAGCCTTTATCAGGACTTCCGCTCCCACGCTAGTTGGCAACATCAACTGTGCTATATGTAAACAATAAATCTTGAGTAAAATATACTGTAATGGTGAATACTATTAATAAACATATTTGCGACATAAGAACATTAAATTGAAGCCTAAAAAAAACAGTTCGAAAAGGGCATTCTATTCTTTATACTAGTGAAAATTAAAATGAGGGTATAAAAAATGGTTTTCAAAGATCATGTTGATCAATGTACATTCATCTAGTCTTGAAAAAATAAGCATTTAAAAGCTTACTCCAAACATAATGAAGTTTATCGGTTGTTAACAAAATGTCATCATTTTTCAAAACCATGTAAACCTTATAGTTTTCCAACTGTTGCCTTGTTTTTTTTCTTTTTATGTTTGTTTTTACTTTATGATGTTTCAATTAATGGTACAAATATTCATAGTATATATATTTCTGAACAAGAACATATAACCATGTATATATAACTAATAAACGTTCCATAAGCATTTTACACGAGAGAACACTGTTCGGCAAGTAGCCGGTCATCGTAACCGGTCATCATGAAGGAGCTTGGACGTCGTGCAACAGCACTGAGCTATATTGGACGTCGTGCAACAGTCAAATATTTATTGGACGTCGAGGCACTTGGACGTCGTGCAACTGGCAGCGACTTTGGATGTCGTGCAAATGTTACTTTTTTACAATCCTATAGTGCGCTGTTTCACGACGTCCAAGTGCCACGACGTCCAAAGCTTGTAGAAAGACTATATTTTTGGCAGTTACTGTACTTTTGGACGTCGTGGCACTTGGACGTCGTGCAACAACTCAAAAATTATGTTTTGGACGTCGTGGCACTGAATAAATATTATTGGACGTCGTGGCACTTGGACGTCGTGCAATGCATCCGGTAAAACTACCAAAGAAGGGTGATCTCTCCAACTGTAACAATTGGAGGGGCATAACTTTGCTTCCTGTTTGTAGCAAAATTCTTGCTAGAATTATCTTAAATAGAATTAAAATTCCTGTCAATAAAAAATCAGGAAAGAACAAGTGGGATTCCGGCAAAATAAATCGACCATCGACCACATAAATACCCTGCGGATAATACTCGAGCAGTTTGCTGAACACCAAGCAGCATTGTATTTAGTATTCGTCGATTTTGAGAAAGCCTTCGACTCAATTAACAGACAAAGCATTTGGAAGGCAATGAAATCTTTTGGTATACCTCCAAAGATTATTAGACTGGTAAAAGCCATGTATGAAGAGTTTTCATGCCAGGTAGTGTACAATAAGTCTTTGTCGGATCCAATAAAAACCAATTCAGGAGTCAAGCAGGGATGCCTATTGTCACCTATCCTTTTTCTTATGGTCCTTGATCTCGTTATGAGAGAAGCGATGAATCGAAACAGAGGAATCCAGTGGGGCATTAATTCAAGGCTGGAAGATCTGGATTTTGCAGACGATCTATGCATCATGGCCCAAAGTTTCAGAGATATTGAAACTAAGCTGAACGATTTAAAAGTGGAAGCGCAACAGGTGGGCTTAAAGATAAATGCCAGGAAAACCAAGGAAATGAGGTTGAATAACCGGAATAACACCCCCCTTAGAACTGGAGAGGAAGAGGTAGAAAGAACCAATGAGTTCTGCTATCTGGGTAGCTTGGTGGCCAGGGATGGAGGAGCTGACCAGGACATAACAAACAGGCTCAACAAAGCAAAGGCGGCATTCGCCCAGCTGAGACCAGTTTGGAGGAGCTCCGAGATTAGAAGGAAAACAAAGCTCCGAATCTTCAACTCGAATGTCAAATCTGTCCTCTATGGTTGTGAGACGTGGAAAATAACAGCTGTTGCCACAAGAAAACTCCAAACCTTCCTCAACAAATGCCTTAGAACCATACTAAACATATGGTGGCCCGA